GTTGTTTTGGAAATGTACGTTTTGGGGGGGCATGTTTTCCATTATCCTGATGGCCAGGGTTGAGGAGATGGGTCACCACTAGCATTTAGTGGATGCCCCATGATGGACACGACAGTCCACGTCATGGAAAACTGTTCCACGGGCTGTTGGCAGATAATTTAATGGAGAGGGAAAACACCTGTTTGTAACCGTCTGTGCCTAAGACCCAAACCAGGCTGGTGCAAATACAGAGAATTTTTGCGTGATTTTTAACATTTATTGAATTAGCCAGAAATGCAACTTCCGTGTAAATTGAGGGAAGACTGTTGTGTGTCTTCTAGTCAATTCCGACTCACAGTGATCTTGTAGGTCAGAGTAGAACTGTCCCACGGGGTTCCCTGGGTTGCAGTCTTTACGAGAGCAGATCTCCGAGTTGTTTCTCCAGTGAATTGCTGGCAGATTCGAACTGCTGACCTTTCGGTTAGCAGCTGAACACTTAACCACCAGGGCTCTTTTGAGGGCAGATTGTTACTTATTTTGTTCTGAATTTTCCCCAGAGTTCTTGTCATTTTAGAAAATTACATACTCCATGGCAACAATGATGCTCTCCTTATCAGTCTACAGCATGGCTTGTATGATTGTCACATTCAGCAGAATTCCATGTATAGGAGCAAGCTTTTCCTTATTTTATCACATCTTCTAGGGTAGTTGTTAAGAGTATTTACCATTTGAAATATTTATCACCTTAAATTACCTTCCTTATCTATTCACTTAACCAACACCCATTTAACTCTTGTTGTTGTTGTTGTTGTTATGTGCCCTCAAGTCAGACTCATAGCGACCCCTCCACCCGTCCTTGGGTTTCTGAGGCAGTATCACTACGGAAGTAGATTGCCCCATCTTCCTTTTTAACTCTTAGCAATGTTCTAAATGCTTTATGAATACTCATGTAATCCTCACACAACTCTACACAACCAGGTGCTGTTAAAGGATAGGTGATTTACCCAAGGTCACACAGCTGGGAAATGGAAAAACCAAGATCCAAACCTAGGAGGTCTGATTCCAGCGTCTGGGGGCTTCACCACTAGCCTATAGTAGATGATTTTCCTTTGGACTTTATGAAAAACAAACAAACAAACAAATTCACTGCCGAGGAGTCTGATCCGATTCATGGTGACCTCTCCTTGGGCTTCCCAGGTGTTATCTCTATGGAAGTAGATTTCCCAGTCTTCCTTCCAAGGAGTGGCTGGTGGCTTTGAACCACCAGCCCTCTGGTTAGCAGTCTGCCTTAGGCACTACACCACTAGAGCTAACTCACTTCCATCAAGTCTTTTCCAACTCATAGTGACCCCCACGGGGTTTCCATTTTGGAAAATTACATACTCCATGGCAACAATGATGCTCTCCTTATCAGTCTATAGCATGGCTTGTATGGCTGTCACATTCAGCAGAATTCCATGTATAGGTACAAGCTTTTCGTTATTTTATCACATCTTCTTTATGGAAGTAGATTGCCCTGTTTCCTTCCGCAGAGTAGCTGGTAGGTTTGAACCACTGACCTTCTAGTTAGTAGTCAAGCGCCTTATCCACTATGCCACCAGAGATATGTCTTATTTCATTTCAGGGTAATAGGGGATGATGCATGGCATTTATTATCAAGGGGACATTGAGACACTGTTAAGAACCACTGGTGGAGAGTGCGGGAGAGAGCTGGACTGGTCGCTGAAGCCTGGGTATGCTCACCGAGGGAGGGATATGGTATGAGAAGGGCAGCCGGCTGGAAACAGAGCCTGAGGACCCCTAACGTTTAGGAGGAAGAAGAGCAAGAAGCAGTCAGAGAGGTAGAAGGTAAACCAGGGAGCATGGAGGAGGGAGTGGGTGACAATGAGTGGGCCTCAGAGACCAGGTGAGGTCAGGGCTGAAGGTGGGCCCACAATTGGCCACCAGGGGCGCAGTGTGACCTGAGCCAGTGAGAACTGAAGCAACAGAAGGGCCTCAACTGGAGCTACAGTCAGAAATGCACCCCAATGCAGGAAGAGAGAGAGGGAAGTACCTGACCTCGCTCTCCCTGCCCTCCCATCTCCTGCCTTGCTTCCCATTGGCCCACCCCCCCAGGAAGCCAGAGGGAAGGGGACCCTGACACAGTCCGCAGGGATCAGCAGGGTGGAGAAAGGCAGAGGATGAATCTAGGGGAGCAGGGGACAAGCAGAGGAACCAGAACAGCCCTCGGGAGGGAAGATGCAGGAGCCTGGGGTGGGGAGGGGTCATATTGGAAGGGTCCAGAGGTCACAGGTCACCTCCTGGTGACGACAACAGGGCATAGTCCCAGACAGGCCCTGCCAGCACCCTACTCCCCTCTCACAATTCTCTGGGGTAAATACTACTATTATCCTTATTTACAGATGGGGAAACTAAGGTTCAGAAAAGTACAAACAGACCAGCAAAAGCTTGCCTGAGGACACTAAACAGAATTAGGATTCAAACCCAGGTCTGCTGATGGCAAACCTGGAGCGCCCAGCCATTAGACTTTACTGCCAGATCTAGTCTCGTGAGATGTTGAAACTCCTGCCCCAGAACCGCCAAATCCAGTCCAGGTGCTTTCGACCAGGAAGGCGGCCTGAGAAATTCCTGAGCTGAGTGGAGCGGCCTAGTCAACCTAGAGTCAGAGATTCTCAGAGAAGAAAGGACTGGAGTCAGGCAGGCCCACATTCCAATCCCGCCCCTGCCACTGACTAGCTGTGGGACCCAGCCTCCCTCAGTTCTCTAATCTGTAAAATGGGTCAGTGCAGTGTTGTTGAGGGGGTTAAATGAAGCCATGTTGGTTCTCTTTCCTCTCTCACACTCCTCCCATCATGAGATTGGGGTCTGGAGGCCAGTGGGAAGGATCCCGGGAAGTAGAATTTCCCCAGGGACTGTCCCCTCAGAGGGGCTGGTTCATTTTCATGTCTCCTCTCCAGATCCAGAAGAGGACGCACGTCAGGATGGTCCGCCGTATCCAACCTTGACTGCCTGCTGTCCTGGCTTCTTCTTTTCCCCTCACGTGAGGTTCCCTCTGCCCATACCGTTTGATTTGCCTACCATCCCCCAATGTCCAGGTCACCCTTCCCCAATTTTTCCATACCTTGCAGGACACTCCCAGGTCTGGCCACAAGATGGCGCATGGCTGTTGCAGGATCAGTGCTGGGGGCGGGCGGGGCTTGGATAGGAGCGTGGCCCCGGCGCCCCTCTGACTTCCAGGGCTTATCCTAAAATCACGTGTGTTTGTGTCTTTGTGTCCAGAGGGACTCAGAGGGCTGTAGGAGTCTTGCAACCTTTCTGTTCCTCTCTCTGGGCTGCCTGGATTTCTTGGGAATCTCTAAAAAGCGGAATAAAGTGAACTGGCAAGAAGCACCTGTGCATCAGCTCATTAAAACTGTTATCCCCATTTCACAGTTGAGGAAACTGATTCCCAGAGAAGGGAGTCACATGCTGAGCCCACTCGGCTGATACCTGGCAGAGCTAGGCTCAAACCGGGATCTCTCTGGCTGCAGGGCCCATGCTTTTCGGCTTTGCTTCCATATGGTGGAAGGGGTCTCCTGGTGTTTGTAAATTGTCAAGACTTAAAGGAGGATTTGGGAGTGAGGAGGGGCGAAAAAAACCCAACAAGGAATAACCCCTACCTTAGAAAGAACAAGACTTGAGGGTAGAGATGGTATGGAGATGGTAGATGAGGGGTCCAGCCAGGGCTCTGGTTCTGCTCTGAGCCCCCTGGAACCCAGGGTAGGGATACTCCACACACGTTAGAGGACCAGCTACGGCCACCGATGGCCTGTGTGAAGCCTACTGCCCCCTAATTGCACTCCAGGTTCCCTTAGCATCCTTCCACCACAGCCTGCAGCTCTCTTTATTGATGCTCAAGTCTGTCTCCTCAGATTATGCCTCCCTGGTGTTAGGGACACATGCCCAGGCCCCAGCACAGGGCCTGTGTGGGCTGAGTTCACGGTCACAGAATTGGGCCAAACATGGATGTGTTGCCAGGGGCCAGTGGCTGATTTCAGGGAAGTCCCATCAACAAGGAAATCTCCCTCCTCCACCCTCCACTGGAGCTGGTGGTTTTTGTTTTTTATTTCAATGCCTTTGAGGTAACCTGGATTCCTGAATCCCTTAAAGAAATCCTCTCCACCCAAACAACATTCCCCTCTCCAGTCTACAGGCTGGTCCTGGAGAAGCAAATATTAAGTGCAGCAGGAGATTGTAAGGTTAGACAACAAGTAGGACTTCCTGGCAGGAGCAAAGGAAATTTTACTTAGCGCTACCATTCAATAGAATGGGCTGCTTTGGGTTGCAGTGAGGTTTCTGGAGTTGCAAATTACTGGTGGTTGATGAATGTGGGGAGTAGGAAGGGGGGCATTGGGCCACAGGGGCAACATGGCTGAGGTGAGCAGCACTGGCAGGAGCAGTTTGGGATGAATAAGCTGGGGGTGGAGGGCATCTATGCAGAGACCAGATCTGGGGTCCAGGAGGCTACTGGACTCACAGATCTGGGCTTGGGAGAGAGGCCTGAACTAGGGCAGATGTGGGGGGTCCAGGAGGTGAGGGGTCACTGAGGACTGGAGAGACCCTGGTGAGAACAGAATCCCAGATAATCCCCCAGAATAGAAAATTGTCAATTTCTCCGAGGAGGCTGAGGCAGCACCACCTGAGAGGTGGGAGAAGAGCAGGGTGGAGTGGGGTTGGGAAGGAGTGGACTGCACTGAATGACAAGGTCAGACCTACAGGGGCCCCTGAGGCCTCAGATGGTGCCCTGGGGCTTAGGGATGTAGGCCTGAAGTCTAGGGGGATGGATCAGATCCTTCCTCTAGAGTCATCCATGAGGTGGAGCCGCCTGGGAGGGCCTGATGGGGGAGGAGGCAGTGGTGGGGCGGGAGGGAGGGGCCGGGCCTCTGTCCACAGCATTAGTGCTGGTTGGAGGGACGAGCGAGGGGGGTGCGGAGCCAGCCAGGCCGCCCGTTCCCACAGCAGCAGAGCAGAGTGCAGCTGCCATGACGCTGGTGAGGCCTGAGACCCAGGGCCCTAGACCCCTTGGCACTCTGCCGGGGCTGCTGCTGCTGCTGCCGCTCTGGGCCCCTGCCCTGGCCCTCCTGGCCGGTAAGTTGGGGCCAAAGCTTTGAGAGGTCCAGAGGGTGTCTGTCTCCCAAGTCAGACACCCCAGGTCTTGAGTTCTGGGGCTGTGGGTGGGCTGGTCTGCATGGATGCATGCCTGAGTTGTGGGGCAGAGCGGTGCCCTGCTGGGGGCCACTGGTACTCATGTGGGGCCCTGAAGAGGTATGTTCTGGGACTTGGGGGCTGTTGTGCATGTCCAAGGGGCTTAGTGGGTGGTGGGGTGGAGATGTGTGTGTTGGGAGATGCTGTGTGGGGTTTGGGGTGTGGGCTTTGAGTTTTGGTGTGTTACATACTCACTGTATGGGAGATGGAGTATTGGAGCTGGGAATTCTAGGTCGTGAGGTACTGAATTTGGGGAGTTGTGGATCACCAGAATCTCACCCTGGAGTCTGTTCTAAGTACTGTGCTGGGTTGTGGGGTGCAGGTTGTTGAGTGTGTTAAGATGTGAGCAGGATGAGTTGTCCTGGGGTGAGCTGTGAGTGTATGAGGCATTGTGGGTGTTGTGAGCTGTGTCCAATCATGAGTTGTGGGGTGTAAGTTGCCAAATGGGTTGAACTGTGTCTTTGCTCTTGACACGAGGGGCAGAGAGTGGGGGCAGGAGACCCTTGTTGGAGGTGGAGGCGGGAGGGGACAGGGGAGCGGGCCATTTGCCTGTTCCCACTCCATTTGTGTGCTAGCCCTGCTTGAGCTGGAGGGAGGGATAGAGGATGCTCTGGGATCCCTGGGGGTGCCCAGGGACTTGGACACACGCATGTGTCCCCTGCTGGCCCCTCCCTGGCATTCCTACGCCAAGTTGAAAAGGCTCCTGAAGCCAGACCCCCACTTGCCAAGCGGTTTTTTGCTTTTGTCCAAGTGAATTCATGTAAGGGGCCTGGAATTCTTCTTGGGGAGTCTGGGGGGACGCTTTGTCTTGGTCGCTATAGCTACAGGGGCCAGGCCAGGGAAGTCCCCTGCCCCCACCGTCACCAGCTAGAGGAGGGAGCCAAGCTGGGCAGGACTGCTTGGGCTCTCTTGTGGCTAGGGAAGCCCCCACCTCCACATAGTTCTGCAGACTCACAAGGTGTGGAGGGTCCAGGCTGAAGCCTTCCTCTGACCTTCTGTGGGGCCTGTACTCACAAAGTCATCTCCTGACTCTTCTCCTTAGGGCTGTGAGGGACGTTAAGAACCCTATTTTGCAGTGGAGGGAACTGAGGCCCAGGGAGGGATGGGGGCTTATGGCTGGGCTCCCAGGCAAATCTAGGGCTGTGAGATGAGCTGGGGCCCGCTCTCTGCTGTATGTGCATGAGGGCTGTGAAATCCTGTCTGTGAACCTGTCTGCTCCCTGCCCTGCAGGGCACACACACCCAAACACCCACACCCCTGCATACCTGTGTGACATGCCAAAGCCACACACCACCACTCAAACGGCATCCACAAGCAGCTGTAGGTCCACCCACATGTGTATGTGTATGCACACACACACATACTTCCCTACAAATCAACCTCATGTACATATATTGGCATGCGTTTGTTCATAGTAATATGTACATTCATATGGATCTTGAGGCAGAGTAAACACAAAATAGATCTTTGCTGAAGAAGGGCATGGACACTGAGATACATACATACTCCTGTGTGCACGCAGGATTTCTGCACAGGGAGCTCATTCCCTGGGGAGCTCTGAAAGCTGAGGTGGGCACTGTGGGTGTGAACAGTTCAGGGGGAGGGGGCAAGATCAAGTCACTTGAAAACCAGTTTCCATCCCAGAGCAGATGGGGTTTTCCAGGACCCGTGGGTCTTCCACCCACCCCTGCCAGGCCCTGAGCTGGGCCTCTCCACCTTGGGCCCACTTGGCCGTAAAGGCTGGCTGGTTGCTATGGAGAGAACCAAGCATCCTGGAGCACAATGGAGCAAGTTGGGCCTTCACAACCGCCCTGTTTCCTCCCCCCAACACACACCCAGGGAGCCTGGCAGACAAAGGGGCAGCAGGTCCAGCCCAAGCCTGGCCCCTCCTCCAGCCAGAGCTGGGCAGACAGCGGCAGGGAGCAAGCAGGGGGAGACACGTATCCAACTGAACCTCAGGATCCCTCTGAGAGTCGGTGTCTGTCCTACATAAAGACTTGTTGGTGAGTGAGTAAAGAGCATCACCCACTACATGGTAGACACTAGGCTACTCAGGTAACATGATCAATCTTAATTCTCACAACAGCTCAAGAAGGTTGGCTCTCATACCTCCAGTTTACAGAGTTGGAAAACTGACTGCAGTACCAGCATCTCCTTTCTGTGTTTCTGTAAAGGGGATCAACACAGTTAAATCTAAGGCTGTAACAGGAATTAGATTAGAAAGCCCAGTGGTTCTCCAACTTAGGTTTTGGTGTGGAACCCCCAGTTTCAAAGGAAGATTCCGACGGCAGCCCACTAATGTTAATAGTGAAATAGTTAAATGTGTTTTTGAGGTGGACCTGGCATCCACCTGCTCAGTCTTCCCCTCATTCTGGAAAATACCTCCCCGGCTCCCAGGTGCCATGAGCACCATTTAAAGACACACCAGGCACAGGCTCCAGGCTCCATCCAAGACAGCTATCGTTGGAATTATTGTTATCAAAATGGTGTTTTTTAGTTTCAGGGGTAAACATTTTTGTGAAAAAGCATTCCGAAGTTTCCCGTCTTTTAAGATCCCTTTCATCCTTTTTTGATGGCTCTGAGGCAGTGTTTGCAAACCTCTATTGTGTTGTACTGTCCTTACTGTCCTGTTATTCGGTCCTAGTGACAGTGGATGAACTTTTTCTTTTTTCATGCTAGCAGCTCCCATACTTTGTGACATCTTGGGTCGGCGTCTTAGGAATCTTCTCTCTCTTGCCTTATCAAGACAAGAAGCTTCCCCGAATTCACCATCAGCAAGACACTTCTCATCAGCTGTAACTAGACCTGTCATAAGTGTGTGTAAAGTGAGAGTTGCTAAGCATTAAGTGAGGCCTGAAACATAGGGGCATTACTCACAGTTGGGTTCTGGAAAGACAGGGTTGATACCTGCTATGTTCAGGCTGGTCTTGGAACCTCGCTCTTGTGAAGGCCCTGAGAGTCTTCTCTCGGTGCCTGGCGAGGCTGGGCTGGAACATGCTAACATGGCAACACATGGGTGGCAATTTAGAGTTGGCGAAGTGGGAGTTTCTCATGCATTAGGAGCTGTGGACCTCTCAGGAGTCTTAATTTTTTGGGAAAGTTTAGCAATCTGAGTTAGAAAAACTGAAGTTTGTTTTTGTTTATAGCACACACGAACACATGTGTAGAACAGTATGTACCTCTTTAGCTTTGAATCAAATATAATAAAGTAATACTTAAATCCATTATCAACTCCCATGAAAGCAGTAGTCAAGAAATCAAATGACATATTGCATTGGGCAAATCTGTTGCAAAAGACCTCTTTAAAGTGTTAAAAAGCAAATATATCACTTTGAGGACTAAGATGCACTGACCCAAGCCATAGGTATTTTCTTTTCTTTTTTTAAATTATGATTTGGGTGAAAATTTACAGAGCAAATTTGTTTTCCATTCAATAGTTCATACACATTTTATCTTGTGACACTGACTTCAACCCCACAATGTAACAGCTCTCTTCCCACTTCCTCCCTGTGGTTACCATCTCCTTATGTCCTTCTTTCCTATGCATTCCTGCCTTCTGAGTTATCTCCCCATGCAAATGCTGCCCTTCTGATCTCCCATGGTTGATTGTTCTAAGGAGTGTAGCTACCTGGTATAACTGTTCACCTAGTTGTTGTTGTTGTTGTTATGTGCTGTCGAGTCGGCCCCGACTCATAGCGACCCCTCCTTGGGTTTCCGAGGCAGTATCACTACGGAAGTAGGATTGCCCAACCTTCTGTCTAATGTTTGGCTAAGAAGGTAAAGCCATAGGCCTAAAGGATGACTAGAAGCCGTAGTCTTGGGGTTTCACCAGCCTCTATCAGACCAGTGAGCCTGGTTTTTTTATTGTTATTTTTATTTTTTTTATGGTTTTGAGTTTTGTTCCACATTTTTCTCCCACTCTATCTAGGATCTCTAATTTTGGCCCCTTTCCAAGTGGTTGGGAATGGTAGCCAAGCACCATCTAGTTCTTCTGGTCTCAGGTTCATGTAGGCTGAGGTTCCCATGGTCCACTAGTCCCTTGGACTATTTGTTTCCATATGTCTTTGATTTTCTTCACTCTTCTTTGCTCTGGATGAAGAGAGACTAGTTGTTGCAGCGTAGATGGCTGCCTGGAGGCTTTTAAGACCCCAGTCACTACTCACCTAAGTAGGAAGTAGAACAATGACCTTAAGGTCTCCCGCAACCATTGTCCTGAGCCTGCAGGCCCAGCAACTCATTCCCTCAAGGGTGCTTGGCTGTGGCTAAGAAGTTAACATAACTTTTCCCCCTGTTAGCTCTATTATATATATGGACATTCTTATAGCACACACAAATACATGTGTAGAAATATCACCTGCCAAACTTATATATTCCCTTTTGCCTACCCATAGCTGATCATTTTGCCTGTCCACCTACGTATGCCATGGGTATTTTCAATAGCCTGATATGCATGCAAAAGCTGGACAATGAATAAGGAAGATCAAAGAAGAATTGATGTATTAGAATGATGGTATTGGCTTACAATATTAAATACACCATGGACTGCCGGGAGAGCAAACAAATGTGTGTTGGAAGAAGTACAGCCAGATTGCTCTTTAGAAGTAAGGATGGTAAGCCTTCATCTTATGGACTTTGGACATGTCAACAGAAAGGACCAGCCCCGGAGAAGGACCTCATCTTCGGTAAAGTAGAGGGTCAGCAAAAAAGAGGAAGGCCTTTGACGAGAGGGACTGACACAGTGGCTGCCACAATGGGCTCAAATGTGGTAATGATTGTGAGGGCCACACAGAACCAGGCATCATTCCGTTCTGTTGTACACGGTCACTGTGAGTCAGAGCTGACTCGATACAGCAGCAATCATAGATGCAAGGTGTGTAGCCCAGCCCTAAGCACATGGTAGGCACTCAGTAAATGGCTGTTGTTATGTTATTATAATAATCCATCTGCTCTCCCAGGGCAGCAGGTCGCAGGGGAGGGGCGGGTGTCTTTTAATCCCTCCCCTGCCAGGTCAGCCTGGCAGCCTAGGAGGTCAGGAAGGATTTATAAAGATAAGCACAGGCCCCTTGTTGTCTGGGCAACAGGCCCCGCCCCCCACCCTGGCCCCTGGGACAGCCCCTCTGCCGCTCTCCTGCCTTCTGGACCCCAACCCTCTTTACCTTTCCTCCTTTCTGACCTGGATCAGCCTGGCCTCCTCTGCTCACTCCTGGATGAGTGCCGACCAACCGACTGGAGGTCAATGGTTCCCACACCTCAATGTAAAAGGAATCCCCTGGGGCCCGCACTCAATGCAGATTCTCTGGCCTCAGGCCCAATGGTTCTGAGCTTTTAGGGCTGGCTGTGGCCCAGGAATTTGTATTCTTAATATGGTCCCAGGTGGTTCTGGAGAACCTGGAGTGGAGGTTCTGAAAACGTGGGGTCCTCAATGGCTGTGGGACTGTGAAGTCGCTTCAGCTCTGAACTGCACGTTCCTCAAAGTAAAGTAAATGTGAAGGTTAATTGAGATTACGCAAGACAGTCACCCCTCGCCTGTAGGCTACTGAGTGCTGTGCATACTTCTCGGGATAGGCACCTCACTCTCTCCATGCCTGACTCTGACTCAAAACATGCCCTCTTCCTGTGCAGCTGGACTCCGTCTCCTGTGGCTCTGTCACTTAAGGTGACAGGCTATCTGCTGCCACAGTCCTGGGTGGGCAGATGGTGATTAAGCACCTACCCCAACCCTGGTGTCCTTTCCTGAGGTGCTGTCTACCCAGCCTGGTCCTGTCTCCTCTAAGTGTGTGTGTGTGTTTGTGGGGGGCAAACCTCCAAATTGGGGTGGGGATCCCTTGACCCACACAGATAGGTGGCCCCTGGCCCTGATTAAACAAAGAACGTGTTGGTACAGAGCCCAGCAGCCCGGGCCCTTGGTGAAGAGAATTAGGATTGTTCTCCCCTCCACAGCCACTAAAATGGTCCTGAGTGGCGCTGAGGTGTTGGCTGAACCTGATGCCAACCTCTGTAACAGTGGTAATGATCGTAACTGCCCGTCACTGCGGGATTCCTGGCTGCCCGGACCTTGTACACATCACCTCGGTGGCTCCTTATAACCCCACAAACTGAGCACAACAAGCACCCCGGATGCAGCCCAGGTTATCTGTTGTCCTTTTCTGAGAGGGGTCCATCCACTCCCACCTCTTTTGGGTGACGCTGCTGACTCTGAGGCCTGGACACCTGCAGGCCTGGAGGACCAGGCTCTAAACTGCTCAGCCACTGTAGCCAGGGTGGCAAAACTGAAGAGAAGCTGCTCACAGGCCTTCAGGGGGGCCAGATGACCCCGGCCTCACCCATCTGACCGGATCCTGAGAGGGGGACTGGGAATGGACCCACCAGCTGGGAAGGCGAGAGGGGTTTGTGGAGCCCAGGGCCCCAGAGGGCCACCTTCAGCTGACAGTGCTTCAGTGCCTGGCCCTGGATGGGCGCTAGGGACAGCCAGGCTGGGAATCGGAAGAGTGAGCCCATGTTGAGCTGTGCCAGGTACTGTGGGCACCAAAGGTGGGAGAGGAGCCTGACAGGACCACCAGTTTTTCCCTGGGTCCATCTGCTGGTATTTCCCTGGTCCACTGCCCGCATCCTACTTCAGCCTGGTTAGGAAGGGCTGGGGTCAGGCCAGTGGACAGTCCTGCCTGGCGGAATGCGGATGACGCGCCCGAGAGGCTGCAGAACCTTATCTGGGGGTCTTCACCCCCGGGATGGGGGAGGGGCGGGCGCAGGGCCTGAAGCTGTTCAGGGGCCTGGTTAGCGTCTAGATGACAACCTGGGTGGGGGAAGGGCACGTCTTGGAGCTTCAGGTTGGGGGTGGGTGTCTTCTGCTTCCAGCTCTCATTCAACCCACTAGCAGTGACAACCACCATTACTGAGTTCCTACAACACGCGGGCACTTGAGTGTAGCTCGTGAGGCTTTGAATCCTTCTGCTAGTCTATGAAGCACGTGCTGTTGTCATCCCCCTCTTCAGATTGGAAACAGAAGCTCAGAAAAAAGAAATGACCTGCCCGAGATTTATCAGCTAGTTGATTTCCTGAGCTGGGGTTTGAACCAGGGGCTCTTTTAATCTAAAGCTCGATTTCTTCCCCTGCCATGACATTGACGGGCACTTGGGAAGGAAGAGAGGGCGGGAGAGAGACTGGCTTCCTCAGCTTCTAAACCAGTCCTCCCCTTTCTCCTCTGTCAGGGATCTGTCAGAGGAGCTCTGAGTGATGGAGGAATCATGGAGGCTAGTCAGGTGCTTAGTTAGCAGGTCTGAATACCTGTACCCTGACACTTCAGGCCGGGCTGGCCACTGCAGGCACCTGTGGACAGGGCATGGAGCACGGGGCAGGAGCCTCTGAGAAGTTCCCAGGCCAGGGCTGGCAGCAGGGGCAGCGGACTGGGGCGGGGGGAGACAGAGGGTGGGAGTGAGTGAGGCAGAGAGCACGTTCCCTGACTTTGAAGTCCTCCGTCCACCCTCCAGAGGTCAGGCTCATCTCCAGTTTCACGAAGGGATGGAGTTACCAGATCCCCAGCAGGAGAGGTAAGGGGGAGTGGGAGGGGCCTCCCCTCTTTCAGCCTGAGTTCCTCACCCCTGGGCCTCCTGGGAGTGAGGTGAACCCAGGATGAGTCCCCCTCTCTAGGTAATGCTAAAATGAACTTGCAGCCTGTCCCAGCCGTGAACTCACTGTGTAATCTCCAGCAAGGGTCTTCACTTTGGTCCTCTGAGCCTCTATTTGCCGCTTGTAAAATGGGTGACTGTCATAAGTTGCTGCATGGATGTGATGAGAGAGTGGAGGACAACGCTCCCAGGGTTAGTGTCTGTCCCTGAATCCCACCTGGGAGCTGGGGAGGCGGGCATCCCTGGTCCTCTCGCTCTCCAAAATGTGTGAGTTGTCGTTGAGCTAATGCCAACTCTCACTCCTAAGCCCACGTGTCACTGTAGAACTGTGAGCTCCAAAGGGATTCCAATGACCGATTTTTCAGCACTGGATTTCCAGGCCTTTATTTCGAGGTTGGCAGCTGAGTGTGTTCATGTTTGCACCACCCAGGGACCCAACTCCAGGATCTGTGTGACACAGACACCCCTAAAACCCTTCCCTGTTCTGGGTGTAGATTTGTCCAGCTGCTGGGACCTGGCCTGTGGGCTTTAGTCCACACCCTGAGTACAGACAGGCCTATGCTACTTCCCAGCCCTGGGGTCTGTGGATGGGCCTGAGAGGGCTGGGAGGGGTGTGTCCCTGTGACCTGACCCACCTTGACCAGCTGGTGTCCTCTATCTACAGGAACGCTGCCTTCAGAGACCCCGAGTGCCTGTGTCTCAGACCCATGTGCTCCGGGGACACAGTGCCAGGCTACAGAGAGTGGTGGCTACACCTGTGGGCCCACAGAGCCCCGTGGCTGTGCCACCCAGCCGTGCCACCATGGTGCTCTGTGCGTGCCCCAGGGTCCAGATCCCAATGGCTTCCGCTGCTACTGCGTCCCAGGTTTCCAGGGCCCACACTGTGAGCTGGACATCAATGAGTGTGCATCCCGGCCCTGCCACCATGGGGCCACCTGCCGCAACTTGGCTGATCACTACGAGTGCCACTGTCCCCTCGGCTATGCAGGTAACATCCCCTGCTGCCTCTAGAAGATCTGTCTGTGATGCCAATACTACCAACTTTGACTTTAGTATAGAGACAGGCCCTGCCCCAGGCATCCTGGGAGCTCTAGGGTTTATACTGTCTTGTTCTGGCCACAGTGTTAATGGCTAACCTGGCGGCTGTGGATGACAGCACCTATGTGTAAGTGCTGGCTGGGTGCCTGGCACTTGACAAATATTATTTCAGTCCCTTCTGCAGAGTTCAGCTTGGCACTAGGGCTGGGGACACCCCCAGACATCTCTGGTGGGACTAGAGAGCTTATCGTCTGGTTTAGCTTTAAGGACACCCCCAGACTCTCCCGAGATTTCCAGCACTTATTCACTCTTATCTGTGTCAAGCTGTAATGTAGACACTTTCTGATGGTTCTTGAGTATGAAACCCCATGCATGGTTCAGATTGCAGTGTAGACCCTCACCCCTCCGGGCAGCCCCCAAAGCTCTAGCGTAGAGACACTCTCAGTCTTATTCAAATTGTAATGTTGACATATCCTCAGGGATCCTTGCTGTCTCTAGAGTGGAATAATGTATATAAAACTGCACAGAAAAGTGACTGACACTAAGCCAATGTTAGTTCCCTCCTCCAGTGAGAGTGTAGCGATGTCCCCGTCCCATCCATGCTCTAAGGTATAAATACCTGGAGCTGCTTCTCTCTAGGCCTGAAGCAGGAAGGGGGGTGCAGCTGGGGAGTGGACAGGTCAGAGAGGGAGGCCAGGTCTCGAATAGTCTGAAGTCTACAGTGTGGACAACCTAGGGTTTCCTTCCAACTGAATTCAGACAATCCTGCTCAGGTTTGAGGTCACCCCAGAGAAGGGGCCACATGGTGTGCTGGAGAGATGGGTCTCAGCATGCTGATGAAAGGTTCTGGGAATTGGTTCCATGTCTCCTTCTCATTACTTGAATGCATCTGTGTCAGGATGTACGTGTCTGTGGGAGTGCGGTTCACATTTGTCTGTGTGTCTCCTAGTATGAAGGAGTATATTTGGTCTGTAAAGAGGCCTCTGTGTGCCTGCCAGTACCTGCGGTTGTCTGGGCTCTGTGAATGCATTTGTGCAAAATGTCTGTGTGTGCACGTAACAGGTGTGTGCACACCTGGGTGTGTAGTACTCGGATGTTTTGGTGCTCTTTCTGGGTTAGCTGTGGATGTGATGGGGGTAGTGTCTGTTGTGACTCATTTCTTTCCTCCTCCTTCCGTTCTAAGCCTGGCGGGGGAGTTTGGGATTCCAGGCGGCCTGGGCCTGGCTCCCCCTGGCACGGATGGTGGGAGTGGGAGTGGGACTGGGGTGGGAGGAGTGCTAGGTCATAGGAAGGAGGGGCCATGTTTTGTGCTTACTGAGCTGGGAAGAGGGGTATGTTCCAGCTGGAGCCAGCTGAACCCCTGACCCCTGACTGAAGTCACCTAGGAGGGGGCAGGGGAAAGCCCACTGGCGTCTACACTGACACATGGGCTCCAGGATGAACTCAGATGGTACATCTCCAACCCTGATTCTACTGCCTCCATGTGTCCCTAGGAGGGCTGCCCAGCCATCCCATTTCACCCGGGACAGAGGGATGCAAGACTTGGAGTTTTAAAACCAAGTTGGTGCAAGTAGAACCAGGACAAGTTGGTCACTATACTTCAGCATCTTCTTCCCAGGGGATATGCTTCCTCCCTGGGGTCCGTCCTAAAAAAAACTCACTGCCATTGAGTTGGATCGGACTCATAGTAATCCTTCTTGGGTTTCTGAGGCGGTATCACTACGGAAGTAGATTGCCCAACCTTCCTTCCTAGGAGTGGCTGGTGGGTTTGAACCGCCATTCTTCTGGTTAGCAGTCAAATGCCTTAGGCACTACACCACCCAAACCAGCGGGGTGACCCTTCTAAAATGTAGGTAGGACCATCTCACTCAGCTGCTTGAAACCTTTATGATGAGCTCAAATTCTGGTAGCTGACCCCCAAGGCCCCAAGATCTTCCTACCCCAGCTTCCCCTCCTCCACTGTCCCCTTAGCTCCTGACCCTCCATGCAGCCCCCTGCCCTAGGGCATCATGCCTCTGACCTACACAGGACTCAGTCCATGCTGCAATCTCTCTCTGTCCTGTGTAGGTCAGGAGCATGATGCCCTAGGGTCCAAAAGCAGTGAACCCCACCCCCATCCTTCAAGGAACTTCTTCCAAGAAGCCTCCAATTCTCCAGGCCGGACCACAGCTCTTACTTTCACAAGATTATGTACTCTCCTTTATTGAGGTTATCAAAATGAAAACTAAGTCTTCATTTATGTAATTATTGCCTTGGGCTAGACTGTTGTGAGAAGGAGCTCTGGTAGAGTAGTGCCTGAGGCACTTGACTGCTAACCAGAAGGCTGGCGGTTCAAATCCACCAGCCACTCTTTGGAGGGAAGATGGGGCAATCTACTTCCGTAGTGATACTGCCTCGGAAACCCAAGGAGGGGTCGCTGTGAGTCGGGTCCGACTCGACTGCACATAACAACAACAGACTGTTGTGAAGGAGCCCTGGTGACAGTGGTTGAGTGCTTGGCCGGAAGGTCAAAGGTTCGAACGCACCAGTCTGGGAGATTCATAAAGATTTATAGCCTTGAAAATCCTAGGAGCAGTTCTACTCTGTCCTATAGAGATTCTGTGAGTCAGAATGACTTATGGGCAACTGGTTGTTTTTGGTTTAGACTATTGAGAGCTCCACGAAGGCTGTGATTTTAGCCTTGTTTATACCGAACTGCCACTGCCAGGAAACACCTGCTCTGAATAAATGGACTAACGTCTGTCTCTTTGGATCCTCGCATTTCGATTCAGTTTAGGGTCTGCCCTCCCTCTGAGTGCCCATCTCTCTGGCTCTGTGTCGCAGGCGTTACCTGCGAGACCGAAGTGGACGAGTGCGCCTCGGCGCCCTGCTTGCATGGGGGCTCGTGCCTGGACGGCGTGGGCTCCTACCGCTGCATGTGCGCGCCAGGGTACGGGGGCGCCAGCTGCCAGCTGGACGTCGATGAGTGCCAGAGCCAGCCATGCGCGCACGGGGGCGTGTGCCACGACCTGGTCAACGGGTGAGCGAGCGGCCGGCGGAGAGGACGGACCGTGGGGTGGTGGGCGCAAGGGACCGCGGCCGGGGCCTGGGTGGCAGGAGGGGAATTGCCCCGCGCGCTCTCAGCACCGGCCGCGCGGCCTCGCCCCAGGTTCCGATGTGACTGCTCGGACACTGGCTACGAGGGTGCGCGCTGCGAGGACGAGGTGCTGGAGTGTGCATCGGCGCCCTGCGCGCACAACTCGTCCTGCCTCGAAGGCCTCGGGAGCTTCCGCTGCCTCTGCTGGCCAGGTGTGTGCGTGCGCGTGCGCGAGCGCGAGCGCGCCCCTCAGCGGGCAAGGACCTGCAGGGGGCAGGGCACGGCCTGGGGCGACGGAGTAGACGTGCATCTGTGCGCATGCGCGAACGTGATCCGCGCCCTTAGCGGAAAGAGTGGGGTGTGGGACTGCAGTTTGTCTGAGCCTCCGTTTCTTGATCTGCAAAACAGGGCTAATAATCACAGTAACTTCTCCTAAAGTTGTGAGGGGAGTAAATGTGGTGAAATCCACAGCATTTGCACGGGCCCTGGCACAGGCACTCAGTAATAACAGTCATAATGGTCATAAAATGATGATGCTGATTGATGAAGGTGCTATAGTCATTTCTACCCTTCCTCATGGAGTCCACTCTCCATGCTGGTGATTGTGTTCCAAGCTGTTATGGCCTTGGGCTGGTCTGGCGGCAGTAACCTGATGCCCACGTGTGTGCTCCCCAGGCTACAGCGGCGAGCGTTGCGAGGTGGATGAGGACGAGTGTGCAGCGGAACCCTGCCAGCACGGGGGCCAATGCCTGCAGCGCTCCGAGCCAGCCCTCTACGGGGGCGCCCAGGCCGTCTTCCCTGGCGCCTTCAGCTTTCGCCACGCCGCTGGCTTTGTGTGCCGTTGCCCGCCGGGCTTTGAGGGTGAGCCCACCTCACAGGGAAGCAGTCTACCAGTGTTTAGATGCACCGGGAGGGTTGCCTCGGACTCGGCAGAGGTATCGCCCTGCCTGAGTCAGCACCTCTCTCTAGCTCTCAAATGGGTCCTTCCAGATCTGTTCTGGCTCTGAGGGAACAGGTGGGAGTCACAGCTGGGCCTCTTGCAGGGGATGACTGCAGTGTGGACGTGGACGAGTGTGCCTCACAGCCATGCATCTACGGAGGCCGCTGCAAGGACCTGCCCAATGGCTTCAAGTGCCACTGCCCAGATGGTTACACAGGTGCCTGGGCTAGGGTGGGCACTGCAGCAGAACCCGGGGCTTGAAGGTTCCCTGTGGTTGATGTGTGGAGTTGACACTGAGGGAGGCTGAGCTGGCACCCAGGTTTTAGAGGTGAGAAAGGCGGAGACTGGCAGGTTTGGGAAATATTTAGGAGGGATACTAAGGTCCTGGTGTAAATCTGTGTATGAGTGGGAGGTGTCAGAGACAGAGGTTCAGCCTTGAGTGACTGTTGAGGGGAGGACAGTGAGTTGAGCTTTGTTCTTGCTTAGTCTGAGTGTCTGTGGAGCAAGGAAGGGCAGGAGCCAGGGTGGCCCAGGGTCTGGGGCTCAGGAGAGGTGCCTGGGTTGGAGCCAGAAACTGGGGAGTTGAGAGCGTAATCCTGGCAGCCGGGGCCACAGAATGAGGTTGTCTGGTAGGTTGTGTGGAGAGAAGGGCAAAGAAATCCAAGAGCTGGGCTGAGGCCCAGGGTCTGCAGGCAGAACAGAGGCAACTGTGTGGAGGGTGGAGACCTGGGGTTAGTGTCTGTTGAAAGGTGAGCTTGACCTTTGGGGAGCTCGGGCCCACTGGGTTGGGGGACCAAGGGTGCAGGATGTCCTTCCTGCCTGATGTACATGCAGACACACCGACATGGTTCCACATGAACGCTGGTGAACCCACGGGGCTTACACACACATTCACTGTGCCTGGTCCCTGTGGAATGCCTGCGACACCTCCCCCACACCGGCACATTCCTGTTCGGACACACTGCCTCCTCTTCTGGCTGGTTGCCTGGGCACAGGAGAAGGAGGTGTGAGCACTACTGTCCCTCCTGCCCTTACCCGCCTGGAGAGGCTGGCGCTCAGCCTCCCCCACCCCAACACATGGGGAGAGGTATGACCGTGTCCCTAGGGGCCCTGAAAGCCCATCTTCTAAGAGTCCAGCCCCAGGAGAAGTGGCCACAGGGGTACCTGGCACATGGTAGGCCGACCATAGCATGCCCTTCCTGGAAAAGACTTTCGATGCATTTCCTTATTTCCTCCCGGCAACAGATCAGTGATGGATCACAGATGAGCTGATGGAGGTTTGGAAAAGGGTGTTATCTCCCCAGGTTCACCAGCATCAGTGGGAGCCCAGCTCCTCCCCAAGCTCAGCTCAACTGATGGGTGACAGGGAGGGCAGAACAGGGTCAGGGGCCAGGAGGGGGACCCCGGCTGTGGGGCTGGGCTCCTTGCCACTGTCCACACCTCCTTCCTTTGGGCTGTGCTAAGCATGGGGGAAGCCAGTGCCTGGCATTCCTGAGCTGGGTCTGAAGGAGGCAGCGGGGCCAGGCGGGGAGCTCTGCTCCCCAGCTTCGCCACCCACCCACCATTCTTGGCCCATCCGTGGGGAATACAATGGGACTACAGGTTCGGTGGACCTTTCTGGGGGGCCTGTGTCTCCTGGCAGGTATGGGGGGCTAGGGCCTGCAGCAGGGGGAGGTTGGGGCTGCAGTTGGCAGGTCTTTGAAGAAGGCTGTGGTATCTATGGGCTGACTGGGGCCTGGCTTCAAATCCCGGTGGCTTCTCTGGGCCTGGGTTTTTCTGTTGTGGGTGTAGGCCTGGCCTTCGTTGTTTTCCAGAGACTCTGGTTGAGACCCAAGCTGTGGCCGAGCACCTGACGTGGGTGCTCCAGGAGGAAAGAATGAGATAGCCCCTCCAGGGTAGCTGCTGGGGATCCCCGGGCAGAGGGATGACAGGGTTAGAGCCTGGGGGCTACTGGAGTGTCACAGACCTATATACCCACCTCAGCCTCACTCCTGTATGTCATCATTCTGTCCACAAAAGCCATCCCCGACCCTTTGTTAGGCACCAACGACATACTCAGGTCTCTGGAGGTGGTCTCAGTAGAGTAAGCAGATACTTTCAGGGCATTGGTCCAGCGAGCTGTGGCTTGGGGCAAGGGGCTGGGCATGACCTAGTGTGGGGGAGAGTCAGGGAAAGTCTCCCAGCTGAAGAATCTTTTGCAGGATGAGTAGCAGCTTGAGAGGCAGGACAAGGAAGGGTGAAACGTTTTAAACAGAGGGAACAGCATGAGCAATGCCCTAGAGGCAACACTTCCCAGGAAATGCAGTTCATGGTCTGGAAGGAGCAGGGCTAAGCCCACGTGGGGTCTCCAGTACCAGGCCAAGTGCTAGGACTTTGTGGCAGAGGAATCTGGGCAGGGGACGCTTTGGAAATCCATCTCCTGCTGCTGGCAGAGCTGGAGGGGAGGGGACTTCTTCAGGCAGGTGAACTGGAGGAGGCTGGACCTTGGTCCAGAGAGCTGGCAAGGCAGGAGACACGGGGTGGGAGAGACGGGGGCACAGGAGGGAGTTCAGGAATCTGAGTCTACAAGGCATGAAGGCTGGCCAGATATGGCAGGGGGAGGGGGCATCTTGGATTCTGGCCTCTGGGGACTTCAGGGCACCATGAAAAATCCTTTGGGGTGGGTTTGGTTGATAGGTGCCGAGGTTCCTGTCCCAGGAGGCGTGAACCTTGTGGGTCCAGACTATCATTCTGGTGCTGGGCACTGAGCTTTGGCCTGATCTCTCCCCAAGGCTTGACATGTCAGGAGGATGTGGATGAATGCCTGTCGGAGCCCTGCCTCCATGGTGGGACCTGTGATGACATTGTGGCGGGCTACATCTGCTGGTGCCCAGAGGCCTGGGGCGGGCCCGACTGTTCTGTGCTGCTCACTGGCTGCCAGGGCCATACTTGCCCAATGGCTGCCACCTGCATCCCCATCTTCGAGTCCGGGGTCCACAGTTATGCCTGCCACTGTCCACCTGGTACTCATGGACCTTTCTGTGGCCAGAATACCACCTTCTCTGTGGCAGCTGGGAGCCCTGTGCAGGCTTCAGTGCCAGCTGGCGACCCCCTGGGTCTGGCACTGCGGTTTCGCACCACATTGCCTGGTGGTGTCTTGGCCACTCGCACTGATACCCGCAACAGCTTGGAGCTGGCACTGATGGGGGCAACCCTTCAAGCCACACTCAGGAGCCATGGTGTCACTGTGCTCATCTTGAGACTGCCAGACCTGGCCCTAAATGACAGCCACTGGCACCGGGTAGAAGTGGCACTCCGCCCTGGGACCTTGGAGCTGCGGCTCTGGCACGAGGGCTGCCCTGCCTGGCTCTGTGTGGTCTCTGGTCCTGTGACATTGGCTCCAACATCTTCAGCATCCTCATCACCTGCGGGGCTCTGCACCACCCAGCTGGGTGGTGCGGCCTTTGCAGGCTGCCTCCAGGACGTGCGTGTGGATGGCCACCCGCTGCTGCCTGAAGAGCTGGGTGAGAATGTCCTCCTGGGCTGCGAGCGCCATGAACAGTGCCAGCCTCTGCCTTGTGCCTATGGAGGGGCCTGCGTGGACCTGTGGACTGACTTCCGTTGTGACTGCCCCCGGCCTTATAGTGGACCCAAGTGCACTGATGGTGAGGAGAGAGCCAGGTGGGAAGGGGCACCTGAGACCTGGGCCCATCCCACAGGCCTCACACCCAGTCCCCTCTTCCTGCAGAGGTTCCCGCTGCTACCTTTGGCTTGGGGGGCACCCTGAGCTCTGCCTCCTTCCTGCTTCCTGAGCTGCCAGCCCCAAACCTCACAATATCCTTCCTCCTCCGCACTCGGGAGCCTGCTGGCCTGCTGCTCCAGTTTGCCAATGACTCGGCAGCTGGCCTGACGGTGTTCCTGAGTGGAGGCCAGATTCGGGCCGAGGCACTGGGCAGTCCCATCCTGGAGCTGCCTGGGCACTGGGATGATGGGCTTCGCCACCTGGTGGTGCTCAGCTTTGGGCCTGACCAGCTGCAGGGCCTGGGGCAGCAGGTGTATGTGGGTGGCAGGCTCCTCCCTGCTGAGTCCCAGGCCTGGGGCGGGCCCTTCCGAGGCTGCCTCCAGGACCTGCAAATCAATGGCTTCCACCTACCCTTCTTCCCACTGTCACTGGGGAACTCAAGTGAGCCCAGCGAGCTGGGCAACAGGCAGGCCTGGAACATCACTATGGGCTGTGTCTCAGAGGACATGTGCAGTGTGAGTACCAGCGGTAGGGTGCGTGGAATGGACCTTTTCCCAGGACCTATCACTGACGGTTATAGTCACTGTCACTATCACTGTCACTGTCTATCACTATCACTGTCTATCACTGAGGGTTAGCGTGACCTTTTGCTGGTAAGGAAACTGAGGCTCAGGAGGTCGTCACCTGCCCCAAGTCCCCCTGCTAGACAGCACCAGAGCAGGATTTGCATTTGCCTCCTCTCCAGCCAACTGCCCTTACTCCCTGCTGGTCCCCAAAATCCAATCTCCAGTCCTGATTGAGACTGGAACCCTGAACCATGCAGAGAGCTGCCTGAATTTCCGCAGGGACTACTTAGGGGACAGGGATGCCTGTGGGGAAAATGAATGGGTTCATAGAGAAAGCAGCAGCCCTGCATTCGAAAAGTCTGGCTGTGAACTGTTTCCTCCATGTACTGTTTCAGGCAAGTGGCTTCTCCTCTCTGACCCCAATTTTCTCATCTGTAAAATGGGGATGATAGCAATTTCCTGCCTGCTTGTTTGTAAGGAAGTGCCGTCTGTAGTAGATGCTCACAGGAGGTGCTCAGTGAAGAATTACTGCTATGATGGCGGTTATAGTGGGGCTCAGCTGACCCCTGTCCTGCTTCTCCTGCAGTCTGACCCCTGTCTCCATGGTGGGACATGCCTTGTCACCTGGAATGACTTCCACTGCACCTGCTCTACCAACTTCACAGGGCCCACATGTGCCCAGCAGCTGTGGTGCCCTGGTCAGCCCTGCCTGCCCCCTGCCACGTGTGAGGAGGTCCCTGATGGCTTTGTCTGTGAGTGTGTATGCCCTGGGTACCCAAGCTGGCTTAGATCCTGCCCCTGCCCTTGAGGCTCACGGGCTGCTGGGCTGGGGACTGGGATGCCAGCAGCCCCGGCCCAGTGTGGCTGGGCCACTGCCTCCAGCGACTGGTTTTCTGGAGAAGGTAGGTGTGTGCTGAGTTTTCAAGGGCTAATAAGACTCTGCCACCCCTCCTTGGGTTTCTGAGGTGGTATCACTATAGAAGTAGATGGCCCAACCTTCCTTCCAAGGAGTGGCTGGTGGGTTTGAACCGCCAGCCTTCTGGTTAGCAGTCAAGTGCTTTAGGCACTATGCTACCAGAGCTCCATTAGAAGCTTATTGAAGACTCTGCCAGGGCATAAAGGGAAGTCTTTTCATGCAGAAAGAACAGCGTGTGTAAAGGCTCTGAGGTCAGTAAGGACAGCTGAAACACAAGCCCAGGAAGAGTTTTAAGCAAAAGAGGGATGTGATCAGGTCTGCAAATGGGACAGGGAGGTTTTGGGGAGGAGACTACGGGCAGATTTTGCAGGGTTACTATTGTCTGGCCTGTGACCTGGAGAGGGAGGTGGACATCTGGACTTTACGGCACTGGCTGAAGCTGGTTTTCTGGACGTAGGGAATGCATGAACGGGTGGAAAGGGGGTGAGGGGCGGCTGCCGAATCCGGAGTTGGATGAATGGACCGGTGAGGCATTGCTCCCGCCACACCTGAGATGAGCCTGAGGAGTAAGGGTGGTGGGCGGCTTCACCCATGTGCTTGTGGGGGCAACGTGGCTTCACCTCCAGGACACCCCCCCAACTCCCCCGACGTCCTCTCTCCGCAGGTGTGGCCGAGACCACGTTTCTCGAGGGCCCCCCTGCCGAGTTCAGTGGGCACAACCTGTCGGCGGCGCACACTTTCGGCGACCTCTCCCTGGCCTTCCGTACACGCGACCTGGAGGCCAGTCTGCTGAGCGCTTCCGCGGGCGCCCACGCCGCCGTCTGGCTGGCCGTACACAATGGCTCGCTGGCAGCCGGCGTGCGCAGCGGTCGCGGCCTGCCGGGAGCCGTGCTGTCCGCGCCCGGGCCGCGCGTGGCTGACGGCGCCTGGCACCGCGTGAGCCTGGCCATGGAGCGCCCGGCGGCCGCCGCGTCGCGCTGGCTGCTGCGACTGGATGGCGCGGTGACACCCTCGGTGCTGAGCGGACTGGCAGGAGCCCTGGACTTCCTGCGCGGCCCAGGCGCCGCGCGCGTCCTGCTGGCGGAGAACTTCACGGGCTGCCTGGGTCGCGTGGCACTCGGCGGCCTTCCGCTGCCCCTGGCGCCCCCGAGGCCCGGCGCGGCGCCTGGCCTTGCACAGCGTTTCGCAGCTCGTCC